CTACTCTACGGGCTCGTTTGACAGCGAGGCTACGCTCCGAAAACGGACCAGCTCCTTACTCCACATCTCGGCTCGCTGGGCAACGGGCGGGCCAGCGGACTCTGCTGGCTGGCGCGACTGTGCGGACCGATCGGCCCCAAGGCAGGGGCTCCCGTTAGCAGGGCAGCTCTAAGGGGTGCCGCACACCCAGCCCGGTGGCTCAGCCCTTGAGCGGGGGACTGCAGGGCTGGCGGCTGGCAGAGCTCCTTCGCCACAAGCGAAGGGGCGATCGTAGCCCGGGCAGGCACCAGCTTTCACATCTAGCTAGCTCTCGTGAGTAACAATGGCAGCGAAAGCCTGGTGACACAGGCCAGCCGCCCCAGGACAAGCCGGCTGGGGGCTTGGTACGTATTCGCTTTGCCAGCCGCCACGTTTGCACGACTACCATCGCTCGGTGCGAGCGCGATGAAAGCTAGCGTTGGTGTGGCTGCCCGTGCCTCAATCATACCCGCAGCCATCACGTGCCGGAGTCTATTTGATCTGGAAGCCGCTCGAGTGAAAACAATGGGCAAAGACCAGAGGGCAGGTGGGCAGGGCACCAGATCGGGATGCCGGGGTTCTATTCTCGTCTCTGCCACTGATTTGGGCCAGACATTTCCTCTCTGTGTGCTTCTGTTTCTCCTCCCACCCATCCTTGGGCTGGCCAGATTAGATTGCCAAGCTCTTTGAGGCAGGAACTCTATGTACAGGGCCTAGCACAACGGGGCCTCTAGAAGTACCATAATATATATAATAGCAACTCCACTGGGCTGTATGTTTCCGGCCTGATCCTGATCTCCTGATCTTCTCCCTCATTGGTATGAAGGGGCGTTATGCTGCTGGTTTCAGTGATCAGAGGCTAGGGCGCTGTGTCCACATATGAAGCCCTTGGCATGATGACATAAAGAAGCAGTTGGCGGGAAGGGACTACCAGGTGCGAGAAGGTCTGGGAATGACAGGAGGGAGATGCATCCCCTCACCCCCATTCCCCCTGAGGGGCATGCCCATGCATGAGGGGGTGCCAGCCACCTGGGGGCCTGGCAGGGGAGAGAATTTTAGAGGTGTGTTGCTATGGCAGAAAGTCCAGCCCAGCCCAGCTCCCAGCGTGAGAGAGAATCGCAAGGAATCCAGGCCCCGAATTCATCCTCCCTCCAGTTCGGCTGCAGGACACCCTCCCAATTTGAAATGCGCCACTCCCCGCACGCCAATGAGAAAAAACACACCAGCTAACCATTTTGGCAGGCCCTACAATAACACATGCCCGGTGCTCCTAAGCTCCCCCTGTTGCCTGGGTGGTACAATTTCAACAGGCTTTAAAATACAGCACTTGGCCACTCCCCGCCATCACGGTCCTCGGGCCCCGTTTCCAAGGGCTCTGCAGCACAGCCAGGGACTGAGTTTCCAAAGGGCTCAACTCCCATTTAGGCAGCTAAAGAGCCAGGTTTTCCTGGTAGCTCTAGCCGTGACACCAATGACTAGATGTTCACAGGATCCCAGCACCCTCCAGGCTGCACTCTTCCGAAAACCCCGGCTGCTTCGGTGTCTGGGGCGGAGCGGGCCTCTTAGAACAGTTCCCCAAACACAGCCCGCCAGTGACCCTACCCCAGCACGCCCCAGGTGCAGACAGAAGTGATCCGACTGACTCAGCAACGGAATTGGGGACGCGGCTCTATAAATAACCGAACTCAGAGACACAGCAATCGCTGCTCCTCCAGCCAAGGGGAATGCAAGTGCGAGCAAGTCGCGAAGGCCCAGAAATAGCGGCCCGGCCCCCGGGAGTTCATCATCGCCCCGGGCATCGCCACTCTGCTGTATGGCATTCCAAGCCACTGGCACAGGTGGTCCATCTACAATCAGGAGCCCGGATGGGCCCTGCCAGTTCCAGCATGGCCCCTCTTGGGGATGTGGGGCATGGTAACTTCCCTGCCAGCTGACAGCAGTGGACCCCTTTGCCATGCCCCCCAGGCATCTCCCTCCGTCTGTGTCCCCCCCCCCACAGGCACCATGTATGTTTCTGCCCCCCACCCCCAAATCCTGCCCCAGATCGCTGGTGCAGTCACCCCTCCCCTCCCTCCTCTCCCCATCGCAGGCTCTTCCGTGCCCATCTGGCTCGGGGTGAATCTACAAGAGGGCCGGTCCCGCTTGCTCAGAGGCTATGACGAGAAAGCAGGCACATCTCGCGGGGGTGAGACTTCCCCTTTCTCACTTCTCCTGCACCCGAGGGGGCGGGGGGGGGGGTGGAGAGAGGGGGCGTGATAGTCCAGAGATCAGCAGAGTCCTGATACCGGGCACCCAGCCACTCTTTCCCTGCCCCCACACCCCTTCACAGTACATCTCGGCCTTGGAGCTTCTCCTCCTCTGTGGACCCCCCCGGCCCCCCGAAGGCGACCCCACAGGGGAAGAGGAGTACATACTACACCACTGCCTGTTAGCTCAGGGACATGACCAATGACTAGTCCTTCCTCCCAAGAGATCCCAGCTGCTAAGACACACCAAACAATGGATGACAGGCAACTGTAGGCCAGTGGAGAGACAGGTAGTCCAGTCCAGAGGACAGAGCACTGGACTGGGGCCCAGGAGACCTGGCTTTGCCACAGACTTACTGGGTGACCCTTGGGCAAGTCTGTTTCCCTTTGTCTGGTCTATTTAGATTGTGAGCTCTTGAGGGCAAGGACTCCGACTCTGTATGCACAGCGCCTGGCGCAATGGGGTCCTGATCTCAGTCAGGGCCTTCATTCGTGATGCTCAGGTACTGGGAGAAGGGCTTGTACAATGATCACTGTCCCCGTAAGGCCAGCAATGGGAGAAGGGCCCAGTAAACCCCTGGGACACTCATCACACGGAGAAGAGGGGTGCAATCAAAATCACCGCCCACAAGGCCAAGACAAGCCACCACTGCTCAGCCCAGCAGCTGTACACTCCTAGCCTCCCTACCCCGATAGGCCACTAAGGAAACCCAGCAGGGCTCATCTGCATCCAGGTCTCCTCCTGGCCACGGCACACAACACAAGCAAAGTCTTAATGTCCTTCCCAGTTTATTCCTCTAACTGGGCAAATCTCCCCCTCTCTTGCGATGGCCCCACACCCCCAGGATGACAGCAATGCGTCCTGCTCTGGCACCTGCCACCCAAACGTTAACAAGCCCAGCCTCCAACCCTACAGGGAGCCCAGTCAGCCTGACGGCCCGTGCGCTGCACGTAGGGAAACTGAGGCACAGAGACAGGTGTAACTCGCCCAAGGTCGCCCAGCAAGTCAATGGCAGAGCTGGGCATGGAACCCGACTCTCCTGACACCCAACCCTCTGCTTTCGCAAAGGTCCCTCTGCACCACAGCCCCACCTCCCCACCCAGGTGCACCGACCCAGGGGCTGCCTATGGATAACAGCACTGCCCGGCTCCTGCCAGCGAATCTCTCGCGGACCGATTCCCAGATCCTCAGAGTCAGACCCAGCCTGGAATGGCTCGCGCGCCAGCCGCACACTGAGCCCCAGCTCAATCCAGGAGCAAGGGGTTGGTGGAGGGGGTAGGCGCACCCTGGGCCAACGGTCTGCAGAGAAAGTCATCCCCCACCACTTCATCAGCCGCGCAACCATAGCTGCGGTGTAATTATGCACCGATTCCATGGCTCCCATCTCCTGGATCTAGGGTGGGTGCAGAGGGCCAGTTAAGCACCACAGTGGCATGGGCAATGGACCAGGGTGTCTGCCGATATGCACACACATCCATCCACTCTCCTCCCTGCCAAGCGAGCCCTCCTGGCTCCCATTCCCAAATCACATGCACTGGGCCAAATGCTGCCCCTGGTGTAACTCCAGAGAGGAATCTGGCATTAGATTCTGGCATTGGGATGATTGTAGCCTCTTCTCGCGGGCCCCCAATGGGGCAGAGGAGCAGCGCGGTGGGGGGGCCAAACCCAGATGCCAATGGAAAGGCCTCCCCTGAGGTAGGATCAGACAGCTGGTATCCTCCCTTCACCCTCCTCGCCAGCTTCATGATCTCATCCTTATCCTGAGGCTGTCCATCCCTGTGAGAAGCCAGGCTCCTGGGATACACAGCAGACTCAGAGGGCCCCGTACCCAGGGATCTCCAGGATGTTCTCCTGCCCCACACTGCTCAGACCCCACCTGGATCCAGCAACCTGCCCGCCCCATGCCACAGATCTGCCCACAATGCCAGGGGGCAGCCTCATCCAGCCTATAGAGAATCCAGCAGCCTCGGCAGCTGCCCAGGCCTGGCTTGGCTTTGGGGTCCGGGCCGGCAGGCTGGTGTCAGAAACCAGTCCACACTCTGCCAGCGGAAGAGAAAGGCGGGTTCTGCTTGCTCCACCAAATGGGGGTGGCTTAATGGGCTAAAGCCCCGCACCCCACATACCTACACCCCCTGGAATCACTGGGTCAATTTGCAGCAGGGCTGGCTCGGACCTTCACCGGGGTGGGGGGACGACCCAGACCCTACCCCACGGTCTTGCCTAGCCCTTGATAGCCCCTCGGCACTTCTCACCCCAGTGAGCGGTTGGCTCTGCTGTACCTGGCCAATATCTTCCCCCACTCCCAGCCCCGCACTAGTGTGTCCCGAAGGATGCTGTCCAGCCACCCCAGCAGTGGCTGCATTTTATGGGTGCCAGCACAAAGACAGCACGTTGGCACAGATAGCATGGCACCCCCATAGCCCAAGATAAGTGGCATCGCACCCCAGCTGGACCAATACTAACTGAGGGTGATGGCGTGACAATCTGGAAAAATCCCCGGGCAGGGAGCTACCAGGTGGCAGGGGAGGGAGGTGGCGCCTGGAGCTAGATGCTAGGGGCTGCTGGGTTCTGATCCCAGCTCTGACACTTCCTCACCATGTGCCCCAGGGTGGGAATGACATCCCCGTCTCGAATTGTTCACACCTCCCCGCGGGCGCAGAGAGGGCTCCATTGGCCGGCACGCCCGGCCCCGTTACGCCCACCCTGGCGAGGCGCGGGGACGCCCAGCGGCCTACCTGGATGGGAGCCGTGCTGAACTGGATCTTGCGGTTGGGCACCAGCTCCTCTTCCTCCGACAGCCCGGGGATCTCCACGCAGCTCGACTCGGGCTCATACAGCCCGTCGGCCTCCTCGTCCTCGTCCAGCCCGCTCCCCCCCGAGTCCTCCCCCAGCCCACTGTATGCACTGATGTCCACCAGGTCGGCCTCCGAGAAGTCCTCCTTCTTGGACTCATCGCCCAGGTCGGCCTCCTCCTGCCCCTCGGCCTTGCCCTCCTCCTCGGGGTAGGTGTCCGCTTCTGGGGCCTGCCCGTGTTTCTCCGCAGCCAGGCCGCCGTTCTCCAAGGCCGCGTGCACCGTCACCTCGGCCTGGATCAGCTCGGCCCGCTCGGGCCCAGACGCCAAGCTCTTGCTCTTGTCCTGCTCGGCCGCCGTCTCCTCCGCCTGCTCGGCGGCCTCGAACTCCTGCTCCGAATCCCCGCTCTCCTCCACCTCCACCGGCTTGATCTTCCGCACCTCCTGGACGCTCTGGGCCCGTGGGCCCGTGGCGTCCTTCTCGCCCGGCCTAGGCGCGACTGGTTTGGGTTGGGCCTTCTCGCCCTCAAGATGCTTGGCTCTCAGTTGGAGAGCTGGCCCGTCGCCCCCCCTGGCTTCTGCCTTGCCCCCTTCCGGGCCCTGGAGGAAGACCCGGGACCTCTTGCTGACGATCTTGGAGTTGAGGGGCCCGACTTTGCTGGGGGTTTTGTGCAGGTTGTTCCTCAGGTCGGCCTTCTCGAAGACGGCGCTGAGCTGGCTGACAGTGGGCGACACGGCCTCCGTGTCCAGCTTGTCCAGGGACTCGGTGCTCCCGTTGAACCTCACCACCACGTCCAGCTTCCTGTCCTGGAAGCCGGCCCTCTCCTTCCTCAGCAGGAGCTTGTTGGTGGTCTCCTTCTCCTGAAGGCTCCGCTCGAAGATCTTCCGGGTCTCCTGGAGCTTGGAGACCGGCTTGTCGGGCTTGGAGTCGAAGCGGCTCACCCTCTCCGACACGCTGGTCCCCAGCTTCAGCAGCGCGCTGTGGTCCACGTTCTCGTTCAGGCTGCTGGCCCTGGGCAAGGAGAGCCGGACGGGCTTCTCCTTCACCTTGGCCAGGTCGCAGGTGCCCTCGCCCGGCGGGGCGGTCCCCATCTGCAGGAACATGTTCTTGATCCGGTGCACGTTGGACCCATACTTCTTGTTCCTGGCCTTCTTGGCTTCTTCGCTCTCGGCGGCCCCAAGGGCATCCTTTGTGGCTCGGAGGGCCTGGATCCCCGCTTCGTAGGCGTTCCTGTGGGGAGAGGCGCTTCTCAGGCTGCTGCTGCTGCTGTTGCTGGGGCTGGCGGTGGGGGGCTCCGTCTTCATCATGGTTCAGCGAGGAGCCTTCTCCGGTCGCCCACACCTCATAGCCTCGCTCGGCCTCCTCTGGCTGGCTCCTCTTCCCCACAATGGCTCTCCCTGCCCGCCGGCTCACATCCCCAGCAGAGCCCCCCTAGTGTAGGAAGGGGCTACGCCGTACAGCGGGCATTGTGCAAGCGGAATGGGAGCAGGGTGGCGAGGAGGCAGGGCTGGTCGGTCCACAACTTGGCAGCCGGAGCAGGAGGGCGAGATCTCCCAAGGCATCGGCTCAGGCCATTGCCAGCCGGGTGACCAGATTCCCTCCCCCACCCCTCGCCCCTTCTCCTCCTCCTCCTCCTCCTCTTCCTCTTCCTCGCTCTCTCTTTCTGCGCCTGAATGGCTGGTGATGGAGACTGAAGGCTCCAGCTCTTCTGCAATCAGCACAGCCTACCGCCCCGGCCTAGGCTCCCTCTGGGTCTTAGAGAGATCACCCGAGCCCTCCTCTTCTTCCCCGCCTAAAGGAAGCGGCAGGGCCATGCGTCCCCTGCAAAGCCCCATAGCCACTGAGCTAATCACCCCAGTAGGAGGGGGCCGGGACAACGAAAGCCCCCAGCTCTGCCATCGACTTATTCAAAACAGCAACAAACTCTGTAACACGACTCAGCCCCCCTCCCCGCCATCAGAGCTGCCAGTTCTCTGGGCGCCGTCCGCAGGGGGACAGATCCGCTCTTCCTGCTCCAAGCCAGTTACCACGTCCCCCTTTGGCTGCCCCCACGCCCGCCTAGCTCCGGGCCAAGGCATGAGGCAGAGCCCTGGCCTGTTTGCAACACATGTGCTGTCCCGCGGGCCCCTGCTGCTTGCTCTAAGCAGGGGCTTCCCCTTTTCCCGGGTGATCTGGGGGACTCCCACTGGGAGGGAGGCGGGTGGGGCCAGCGCTTCAAGGGGTCGGGAAAAGGGGTGTGTGGGTGGGGGGGTACTATCATAATTGGGGAGTAGCAGCTTTGTTGGGGGGAGGGCTTCAGGTGCACCCCTCAACTCCCTGGCTCGATTGTTCTTGATTTGCCGAGTCCGCTTCCAGTGCCCACCCCCCAAACACTGGCCGGGGGCACCTTTTAGGTTCTGCTGTGGTTGTTCCTTGCAGCCTTGGCAAGGCAGGCCGGCTGAAGCCCCGGTTGGGATCTGGTTTTCAGAGGGGCAATTGCACTGGGCGCGTTCATCTCCTTTGAAAAAGAGACCCGCTTTGCCGAGGCACTGATGGCCGAGGCTGTGGCTTGGCTCCCTGGTTAAATCAGGCCCCTAAATACAGTGCTAGCTGCCTAGCGTTAACCACGTGAGTTAGAAGACGCTGGCCTGTGGTTTCAGCTCTTCATCGCAGTCACCATACGCTGCCCTGAAACCGAGCGTATTTCCCCTTGGACATATTCTGCCTCTGACATGGCCAGTCAAGGCCATCGGATCGTGTCCATTCAGCACGCACACAGATTTGCATTGTGGGATTTCCATCCATGAGCCCATTGGGGGCAGAAATCGGAGAGTTCACAGCATTACCTCGCAATGGAGAGCTTCAAGGAGCCAAATTCATTCCTGGGGAAACTCCACGTGACCCCCTAGGGGCCTGGCTTCTCCTCTCCCTTACGCCCATGTCAGTCTGCAGTAACCCCTGTTTTTTACTTGCATTATAGTAGTGTCTAGAGGCTCCAGTCAAGCTCAGAGCCCCAATTAGCTAGGCGCTGTGCAGATACACAGCGAGAGGCTTACTCCAAAGAACTCACAAGCTAAAGAGACAGGCAAAGGGTGGGAGGGGAAACGGAGGCACAGAGCAGCCAAGGGACTTGCCCATGGTCAGCGGCAGACCCAGGAAGAGAGCCCAGATCCATCCAGCCCTACACACTGCCTCTCTACGTTCTGACCAAGTCACAGCCACGTACAACTGGCTGGTGGGAAAGAGGAATCAGGCCCCTTGGGGTTTGATTTCAGCTTCCCAGCATCCCTCAGTGCTGTCCCTTGAGCTCCTCAGGAGGCAGAATCTGACCAGCAGACACACGAGGGTCAGGGCTCAGCTGCAGTGGGTCACAGCTAGTCCTCGTCTTCGCCATGGCATGCCAGGCAAGCAGCGGCCGTGTGTCCTTCAAAGCACAGGGCTGGGAGTCAGTCCTGTGCCCAGCTGGATGCATCTGGTCACCTCCCCGCATCTCAGCTCCCCCACCTGTAAAATGGGGCTGGCGATCCGCCCCTGTCGGCGAGGCCCGCTCCCTGCAAAGCTCTTGGGGTGCTCATCGGGAACCACAGGGCACTGTCGCTATGGACGAATCGCTCCGTCGACACGGGGCAGCCCTCCCTCCAGGCTCTAGTCTCCAGGCAAGACTTCCAGCAGCAAGGAGTCAAACTGGGGCGCCTTGATTCCGAGAGGATTGAGGCGAGACGCCTCAAAGGGGCTGGATTTTCAGAAGGCGCCTACCCCTTTAAGAGGTCTCGACCTGGGCCCCCCCAAATCACTCGACCCCCTTGGATAATCTTAGCCCCTGGGATAGGCAGGAGTGGGTTCCACCAGCCACCCCATGTCTGGCCTGGCTCCCCTCCCTTTCCCAAGGCCCCCAGCACGGGAACCAGGCGGCACCAGGACCCTGAAGATGCCAGATGACAAAAGCTCCCCCTCCACTACGTTGCTTCCTGCATCTTCTGCCTTTTTGTGTATGAACCAGCACAGTTATACGTCCCCCACCTTTTCCTTCCCCCTCTGCAGTTCTCCCCCGCCCCCTTCCACCCAAATCCCAGCCCCACAGCAGCTGCAGAGCGGGCAGGGGAGGGTTCTGTACTGGGATCCAGGGCAGAGAGGCGAGGAGCAGGGATCCAAACCCCATGCCAGGCTGCAATTGATTTCTACACCACAAACCTCCCCCCCCCCCCGCTCTCCCCACACACACCCCACCACCCGCCAGCTGCAAGAGCCGATTACACCTCTGGCCTGACTCATCTGTCCTGCAAACCCACCGACCACAAGCCTGGGCATTTAACCCTTGCCGGACAAGAGGCAAGAGTCACATAAAGGGAAAGTGAGCTGTAGCTCACGAAAGCTATGCAAATAAATTGGTTAGTCTCTAAGGTGCCACAAGTACTCCTTTTCTTTTTTCATAAAGGGAAAAGGCACGTTATGAAACTCCCCCAAGCGCCTCTGGCCCCACGTGAGCTGCATCCTGGGAGTACAGTCACCCCTACAGGCCCCAGCTGAGATCAGGGTCCCATTGTGCCAGGCGCTGTATGTGCATATAGCAAAATAATAATACCTAGATCTTACATAAGAACAGCCACACTGGGTCAAACCCATGGTCCATCTAGCTCATTGTCCTGTCTTCCGACAGTGGCTGGAGCCAGGTGCTTCAGAGGGAATAAATAGGACAGGGCAATTATCAGGTGATCCATCCCCAGTGGTCCAGATTCAGTTTCTAGGCATCAGCGGTTCAGGGATGGGGTTGTGTCCCTGACCATCGTGGCTAATCGCCACTGATGGACCTATCCTCCGTGAATTTATCTACTTCTTTTGGCCTTCACAGCATCCCCTGGCAATGAGTTCCACAGGCCGACTGTGCTGTGCGCAGAAGTGCTTCCTTATGTTTGTTTGAAACCCGCTGCCTACGAATTGCTTTGCGTGAGCCCCTGTTCGTGTCTTACGTGAAGGGGTAAATAACGCTTCCTTAACTTTCTCCTCACCATTCCTGATTTTAGAGACCTGTATCATATCCCCCCTTAGTCATCTCTTTTCTAAGATGAGCAGTCCCAGTCTTGTTAATCTCACCTCCTTTCACGGTGTGCTTTTCCTCAGAAGCTCTCCTCATTCTTTGCAAAGGAGATAAGCCTCACTACCACTACGTGGGGAAATTGAGGCCCAGAGAGGCGAATTAAGAGACAGTCTCTGCCCCAAAGAGTTTCCAGGCTAAGTAGACAAGACAGATAAAGGCGTCAGCAAACAGCACGGAGGCAGAGTTGGGGACAGAACCTGGTCTCTGATCCCAGCTTGGACCCCAGAGCCTGTGGACTAGACCACCCAGGCCCTACACGAGAAAAGACAAAGGGAAAACAGAGAGAGGCCGTGACTTGCCCAAGCAACAGAAGAGTTGGGACTAGCACCCAGGACTCCTGAGTTATAACCACACACCCTGGCAGCCTTGTACTGGGGGCAGCTACATCCTCACTACCTGCGCCAGCTTCATTAACCCCCACCGGTGCTGCAGTAACCCCTTCATCTGCAGTGTAGACATACCCACAGCAAGAGGCAGCCCCGCCCCAAAGAGCTTACAGTCTAAATTGACAAGACCCAGGAAGGAAGGGCCGTTATTCCCATGGCGAATGGAGGCCCAGAGGGATTCAGTGTCTTGCTCAAAGTTCAGCCAGTGACAGAATAGAACTCAAATCTCCGGAGTACTGATGCAGAGCCCTGACCACTCACCCATGCTGCTTTAATTTATCATGCCTCTCCCCCCTGGGTTGCATGGGCTTTTCCTGCAGTGCCGAACAATTCACAGTCATCAGGGCCAAGCGACTGGACCGGGGCTTGTAGACATCCGTTGAATGTAGAACCATCCTTCTGCTCTACTCCACACTGATTAGGTCTCAACTGGAGTATTGTGTCCAGTTCTGGGCGCCACATTTCAGGAAAAATGTGGACAAATTGGAGAAGGTCCAGAGAAAAGCAACCAAAACGATTCAAGGGCTAGAAAACATGACCTGTGAGGGAAGATTGACAAAATTGGGTTTGTTTCGTCCGGAGAAGAGAAGACGGAGAGGGGACATGATAACATTTTTCAAGGACATAAAAGATTGTTACAAGGAGGAGGGAGAAAAATTGTTCTCCTTAACATCTGAGGATAGGACAAGGAGCAATGGGCTTAAATTGCAGCAAGGGTGGTTTAGGTTGGACATTAGGAAAAATGTCCTGTCAGGATGGCACTGGAATAAATTGCCCAGGGAAGTTGTGGAATCTTCATCTTTGGAGATTTTTAAGAGCAGGTTGGACAAACCCCTGTCAGGGATGGTCTAGATAATACTTAGTCCTGCCACGAGTGAAGAGTACTGGACTAGATGACCTCTCAAGGTCCCTTCCAGTCCTATGATTCTGTTAACCACAGGCTCAGATTGCTCCCTGGCAAACTCCAGTACACGTCTAAACCGAGCAATATTAGTCATTTCAATACCTGACCCAAACCATTTTAACACACTGATGTATAGTCTACACACAGGACTCCTTGTACCCACTGCTGAAATGCAGCCACTTCTCGGGGGGAGCACAGCTGCTGTTTAACAGTAATGCCATGCCAGACTGCTGAGTTCAGTACAGCGGGAGAATTTTAAG